TTAGCTATTCCACGCCGAACCTAGCTAGTGTATGAATGTTTAGTTTTTCATCTAGAACTAAAAATAAATTATTTATCGCCATTGATAAGTTTGTACTTTAATAGACATGCTTAAAATAGTGATAAGAATATTGTAAAACGTTAGTCAACAAATTGCTTTGAATAAAGAGCACGCAGCACGCAAATGAAAAAGATATTATAAAGAATAATTTGTTGGTTTAGCCATAGTCATGAATCATGATTCTATAAGAAGCTGATTGAAATTTCTTTGTATCACCAATTTTACCTGTTTTCTACGTTATTCATAGCAAATTATCAAAATCTAAAAGAATTTATCATTTGCCCAAAAAAAAAAATTCAACAGCATAGCGCCTAAATTTTATATAGATTGTAAGAATTTCATAACTTATCAAACAAATGACATGCATAATCTCGTTTTTTCGGCATGTTACATCATTTAGAATATAATTTATTAATTAGATATTTTATTACACAAATATAAATACGATATATTATTTACGACAAGTTAATTTAACTATATGCAATAACTAAAAATATGACAAAAAAAAAAATTTGAAAAGCAATTTTATAACATATAATTTTCTCTGTTCTAGAAATATTTACGATTACAATAGACGGTTTTATCTATATTATATATACGATTAACAGTTTTATTTTTTTAAACACATAACCATAAGAAATTAACCTATTTACACCAAATTAAAGATCTTTAATAATTGTTTTGGTTGAATATCCGATTAGTTTATCTTTATTAATTAGCAAAAAAAATCACATTTTTGTAAACCAAACTTCATCTTGTTGAAAAAAAAAAACATTAATTCATTGCAGGTCAACAATCAATGAAGCTTCCACATATAATCTCTCATTAGATTCGGTTTTACATAGTTTGCTTCCAAATTTGAATCACTACCAGAGAAAAAAACAAGTTCTGCATTTCTCTGTACGGCTGTATAAATTAAAGCAGAAAAACAAGAACTAAACCAAATGTAAGAAAAAAGTGAGAATGCGTAATAAATAAAAAGAATTTAAAAAAAAAAAACTAAATATAGGAAAAAAGAAAAAGAGTACTAGTACCTTGTAAAGTCAACTTGCGTGTTCACACACATCCCACAAGGTTCGTCTTCACCTCAAAATCTGTCCAGAGATTTCTTATTTATTCCCAAACCCCAAAAATTAAAATTAAAATTAAAAACCAAATCCAACCTTTCGATGAAAGCCACCTCCGCCGCAGTTTTCCGGCGAGGAATC